GTAGTGCTCGGGCAACCCCGCCCGACGAACCGAGTCAATGTAATGGCTGATTAGGTGCATCTTAATGAACCTCCATTTGGAGGCCTGCGTAGGAAACGCCGTAACGAGAGCAATGATCATCCTGTCGAAGAAAGAGAGTGGTGGTTCAAGTATTAAGCTTGGTTGAACCATGTGGACGACAGTCACATTGGGGATGGGTGCTTGGAAGAGTGTGAGTAGTAGCTTGATAGAATTATACGCGAGACGTGGACTTACCTCTCAGCCTTGTGCTTGAGACCTGGATGTGTAGAGATGGTAGACAATCCCGGCGGGTAGGTTTTGTTTTGCAAAAATGTTGTTATACCTTTTTGCACAAGAGGGGTGCGTGGATTGATGCGATGATGAACTTGTTCGTTTGCGCCACCGGCACAGCGCACAACGAACAAGGATGGCTCGTGAGGGCCCCCGATTTTGTGCAAGTCACCTTGCACGACTCGGGGTAATCGCACGCGTACGCATACAAACAAGGGTATGCCATGAGGCACCGCTCGGGTCGTGCACCCTCACCCCTGTGTGTGAGGCCTTCCTCAAAGGTTCCATGACCATTGAGAGGATGTGCTGGAAGACAACCAACTTATCGACAGAATCGTACTCAACAGTGAACTCCGGGAATAGTGCTAGCAATACGTGAACCCGTGGCTTCCAGCGATCGTGCTTGTCTTTGTTACCCAAAGTTAGGAAAACAGGATGACCTTTCGTACGACTCCGCTGGTCCATATGGGTCTCGTCGCTCGACAAGATGAGGGCGACAACGACACCTTTCGGATCAATCTTTTGCACCTCATTGTGTAGGGTGAACCACCAATCACCAGTTTTAGGTGTTGAGTACACATGGGTTTCGCCATCGGTGCGCGGGGTGGGTTTTAGAACTAGTTTTTCCGAGTTTTTGGGATGCGTCAATAGATCCACCATCCCAATGGCACCGTCACAAAAGAAAAACTCTAGTGTGGTTTTCGATTTCACTCGCACAAACCCGCGCCGCCAATTACGATGGGGATCAGGGACGCGCTCATCGACGTATTTTTCAACGTCTCGCGCATTGCGAAACACGTATTTTCAGGATTTGCAAGAGATTGTTAATAGCACTCTTGGAGAGGTTGGGCGTCAAGTGAGCAAATGCATCCGCAAATTGAGCGCATTGCTCTCACCTTCCTCGCAAGAGACGTCACCTTGTGTACCCTCATGTTGAACGCCCTCCTCAGCTTGGGATTCGGGCTGTATGTTGGTGGGGAGTGGGTCTTCAGAGGGGGGGGGATGAGTCTCATGCACGGGAGAGGATGGGGTGCTGATGGACAACGACGAGGTGGGCATGGTGACTTGTGCGATGCGGGGTAGATGCATGGTGCGTGTTGAATTCTGCTGCGAAATGCGATTGGCAGCGGTGATTCTGCAGGTTTCACCGTTTTAATGGTTTTTTCAGGGGGGCCCGGCCAGAGAAGCCTTCAGCCCCACATATTCCGCAAACATATGCCATCCTGCAATGGGGTAAGAGGAGGGGGGGAATGGGGACGGTGAGGTAGAACCGAGGGAGAGATAAGGGGGGGCGGACGATGGGGGACGAGGGCGGATGGAGGAGGGAAGTTGATGAGGGCAGAGATGAGAAGCATGCGGTTGTGATGGAATCCAGAGAGATGGGGAGGGAAGGGGATGGTGATGGGGGGGGAGGGGCGGGGGGTGAGAGCGACGAACGTGGGGGTGGGATGATGAGGGGATGGTGCAAAGCGACGGGGGCAATCAAAGGCGAGGTGCAACGGGAGATAAGGTGGGCCACGTGTGAGATCGAGCGCAACTCGAGCAAACGAAGTCGCCGGGGGACAGCAAAGGCGACCGGGAGAAGGCAGGCGATGGGGGAAGAGCGAAAGGTGGAAAGCAAATTCGACTGCGGGAAACAAAGGAGAGGGGGGGGGGGGGGTAATTAAAGGCGACGATGCGAAGCTACCGCGACGCGCATACGCGGCGGGACGGTGCGCCGCAAGGGCGACGGGGTGAAACAAAGGTGACCGTGGAAAGCGAGGTGCGACGGGAGATAAGGAGGGCCACGTGTGAGATCGTGTGCGACTCGAGCAAGCGAAGTCGACGGGGGACAGCAAAGGCGACCGGGGGAAGGCAGGCGATGGGGGAAGAGCGACAGGTGGAAAGCAAATTCGACCGCGGGAAACAAAGGAGGGGGGGGGGGGGGGGAATTAAAGGCGACGATGCAAAGCTACCGCGACGCGCATACGCGGCGGGACGGTGCGCCGCTAGGGCGACGAGGTGAAACAAAGGCGACGGTGGAAAGCGAGGTGCGACGAGAGATAAGGTGGGCCACGTGTGAGATCGTGTGCGACTCGAGCAAGCGAAGTCGACGGGGGACAGCAAAGGCGACCGGGGGAAGGCAGACGATGGGGGAAGCGCGATCGACGGGAAAAATCCTGGGTGATAAGGGGAGGTGACCGCGACGGAGGAATACGTGTGCGACGCGGGAAAGCGTGAGAGGCGGGGGAATCGACTACGCCGCGTGAAAGCGAGTGCGACTTACGTTTGAAATTAGATGGGTGAATGAAGAGCGACGGTTGGAAATATGGACGACGGTGGGAAGCGAGGGCGACACGGGAAGGCGAGTGCGACACGGGAAAACGAAGGCGCCACGGGAATGCGAGGGCGACGGGAGAAACCGACAGCGCGGATGGAGTGCGGGGGCGACGGAGGACAGGACAGGTGACGGGGGAAAGTGTGGCCGACGGGGGGAACAAAGCGACGGTGGGAAGAAAGGGCGACGCGGGAAAGCGTGCGGGACGGGGGATAACGACCGCTAAGAGGGAAAGCGTGGGCGGCGAGGAAAATAATAGGCGACGGGGTACGCCACGACGACATGGAAAGCGCACGAACATGGCGCGAACGTCTCGACGAGCATAATACGCACCACGAGATTATTCTAGAGGTATTAATAAGCCAAGTGGCTCACCTTGTGACAAGGCAAAACTCTAGCAACACTGCCGCTCAATAGGCGCGATACTAGCGGTGAACCCGCCTGCAGGCCCGCAAGTGAAGCCCCTAATTCCAGGCACCAGACGCAGTCTAAGCGGAAGGCGGTTGAGCGTGGTTTGTTGAGATTTTACTTCGAGGAATGCGCAAGTGCTCAATGCTCCGTGTGTACTGGATTCTAGAATTCCAATTTCCAGAGTCACAACTTCCTGAGAAGAAGGGGGGGGGCGATGACTGATTGCCGCACAAGAGAAGCACTAGGCGGACCGCGCCGAAATGCCCAAATGTGACATTTCGCGCCCCGCGAAAATCGGCGGTGCGTCGAAATCTTGTTTGACTAAAAAACAGCCGGGAAACATAGGTGTGGCCACCGGCCAACTGAACCGACCTATATACCCTTAAAACAAAAGGTAAACGGAAACATTACATTCTACCAATAGAGATAACATTTCAGACACAGTACTTCAAGGCAACACTATAATCACTATAACACAAAACGAGCAGCATATGAAATCAACTTATTTGCTTGCAAACTCGACTTTCACACAACAATTGCGCAACAGGAAGCTAATAACAAAACCTAAACGATGTTGGAAATTTAATTATACACTTTTAACATTGCACAAAATGTTATTATTCTCAATACAAGGTCTTGTTCATAGCTAGAGTGGATTTTACGATACGAAATGAACGACTTATGATGAGTAGCCTCCGTACCCTTAAAACGCACAAACAGTTGTGCAATGAATCGAACCAAATCTGTAACAGATGAGATGTATACACGCAAAAAGAAGATGCTTCACTAACGCGTATCCGAACCCTGTATTCTGACAAAACATGCAACCCCACGAAACAAACAGGTGGCGTAACAGAATGGGGAAGTTGTAACCACCTTGCGACATTCGCGACTGCTGAACCAAACCGTCCTGAATGGGCAGACACAGGCGGAGTGCAGAAGGGAGACAAGTGGCACACGAATATTACAATCTAATCCCATATCTCATCCAAACCAGCTCGACACCGACCCAACCCTAGACTAACGAACCTCAAGTGTAGTGTACAACGCACTTGACTGCAAAAGCAGGACAGTCAAGCGTCGTAGGCGCAGACCTATTAGGTTTCGGGATCTAGCCCGTATACTGTTCCAGCACTGTATGCTTGGTCACGACCATTTAAAGCTTTCGTATACATTTGACAGAAGGGGTTCAAAATCTTCTGAAATTTGAAACTTTGCCCGTGAGACCGTGAGGCCACTCCCTAAACCCAAAACCTGGATGACAAATGTATACTTCACAACCATTTGATAAAACTTAGAACTTAGACTAACGAACCTCTTCCTTTCCTGTCAGCCCAAGGAATGGGCGAACCACGCAAAAAATAACCAATTGGTTGACAGATACGAGCATGACTATTAGCACCGACACAACTAGCAGGAAACCAACCGTTCGCATTTCCCCACCCCCCCCAAAGTGACTCACAGGCAAACCCCTTGGGGCTCTCTTGGCTGACCCGGGATTTTTCCGATGAAGCGTGGGGAACATTGGCAGCCGCCTCTCTCTCTGCTCCTCTATCTCGCCCCACCCCTCCGTCTCTCCCCTTCCCGTCCTCTTCCATTGCTGTACCTCCCTGTGCAACATCTCACTCCATCACATCAAATGTCGCTTCTGAGTGCATGATATGGCGTGGTGTATGGGTGCATGCTGTAAGGCATGTTGCTCAGTTCATGATGCACGGCATCTTGGCATTGCATGACATGATGACATGGCATGGCATGGTGCATGGTGCATGGTGCATGGTGCACTCGAGCAGGTTCTTTTCCGCCAACCACCACCACGTCCGCACGTCCTGCCACCAATGGCAGCTGTGCTGCTGCCACGTGGCAAGGGGCCCCGTGGCAGGACACGTGATAGTGGAAGTGGGCGTCTCAAGACTCTGCGCTGCACAATCAGCTGCTACGTGGGGTGCAGCGATTGCTCGACTTCGTGGCGGCCAATGAGATGCCTCTCTGGAGTGACGTGGCATGCAGGCGTGCAGTGAAGGTGAGAGGGGCGGCAGTGAAGGTGAGAGGGGCGGCAATGAAGGTGAGAGGGGCGGCAGTGAAGGTGAGAGGGGCGGCAGTGAAGGTGAGAGGGGCGGCAGTGAAGGTGAGAGGGGCGGCTGTTAGTGCTGGGTTGGAGTGCCGGCATGTCTCTCCGTGTTTTCTCTACGTCCAGACCTCAGTCTGCCACACTGCTCCCTTCCCCACGTCTCCTGCTCACCTGCTCCCCTTCTCCTCCCCATTCCTCCCTCTCCCCTCCCACTCCCCCCTTCCCACCCAGTTGCTCTACGAGGCGTGCAGTGCGGCGCTGCTGCACCTCCTGGCGTTCAACGCCCCCCCAGCGCTGCAGTCGGTGCGGCAGGCGGCAGTTCGCGTGTGTGCGCGCATGACCACTGCGGGGGCGCGCTGGTGGCGGGAGAGTGTCACGGGCGCCATGCTGCTCGCACTCTTATGCTACGTTGATGCCTCGGGTGAGGAGGGGGAGGAGGGTGAGGTGGGTGATGGTGGTGAGGTGGGTGATGGGGGTGAGGTGGGTGATGGGGGTGACGTGGGTGAGGAGTGTCGTGGGAGGGGTGGGCACTCCCATACCGATTGTGCAGCAGCGAAGAGATGAGGCGGTGGGTGCGAGGTGCAGGCGCCAACACCTCACCTCACCTCACCTCACTCACCTAACCTCACCGCTGCCCACTGATCAGTTGCACCTGGCGGCACGCACGCCCATTTGTTGTGGCGCTGTGCTGCATCTCATTGCGTGCCCTGCTTCTCATGGCGTCCAACGCCCTTGTGCCGTCCTTGTGACCCCTGCCCTGCTGTGCGCTGCACTGCTGCTATGCGTCTCGTCTCACCTCACCCTCGCAGCCCTTGGACCACTTTGTCCATGCTCCTCACTTTATTGTCCCTCCCCCACCCCATATAGTTCCCTTCCCTGCTCCCTGCCCCTGCTCACCCCATTCAACTCTAATTCAACTTACCTCTCCGCCCCCTCTCCCCGTGCACCCCGTGCACCCCATGTGCCCCTGCATTCCCCGTGTGCCCCTGCATGCCCCATGTGTCCCGCATGCCCCATGTGTCCCGCATGCCCCATGTGTCCCGCATGCCCCATGTGTCTCCCATTCCCGTCCCCTCTGCCCCCCCACCGCGCTCCCCGCTTCCCCCACTGCCTCACTGCACCCCTGCTTGCCTCGCTGTGGCGCCTCCATCTCTCACGCTCCGCGCCTGCTCTCAGCACCCATGGCACGGAGGGTGGCACGAGTGGCAAGGGCGCAAGGGGACAAGGGCAGGGATGGTGGAGGGGCGAGGGAGAGGAGAAGTGTGTGCGCGCGGGCAGCATTGGCTGTGGGGGCAGCAGGCACGGTTGATGAGAGGGGCGGGGGTGGGATGCATGCTCACACCGGTGGTGTGCTTCTGGTGAGGAGACCTGTGGAGGAGTGGCAGGCGCGGAGGGAGGGTCAAGGCAACACAGCAGCCCTGCAAAAGCGCACCACAGGTAGACCAGACAAGGCAGCAGCAACACCAGCGTAATGGCGGCGAGCCTTGTGCCCCGTGGCAGGGCAAGCAGGCAGCAGCGGTTGGCAGCAGTGGCTGCACGTGTGGTGCTGCTGCTGCAGCGCTGGCCGGCAGGTGGCAGGGAGGTGAAGAGGGAGCTGCTGCACGTGCCTGCACACCGCTCAGGTCGCAGGGGGCGCATGGTGAGTGGTGGGGCCCAGCCCTGTCGCTGCTGCATGGGGCGCACATGGATGGTTTTACCGCTGCTGTAGCGGGAAGCCGCATTGACCCTTCTATGTGCCATGGGTGAGTGGGTGTGGCTGCCTTCCTCCACGTCACATTCGCCTCACCTTGTTTTTTATACATTTCTTGGTGGAATGGAAGCAGCCCATCTGCAACCATGCTTAATGCCCGATGTATCACCGATGTCTAACTTAATCCCCGTGCTCCACCGATCCTATGCATTGAAATGATAGCTCTTATCCCCGCACCAACCCACCCACCCCTTCCCTCGCAGCGCAGGCCCTCGGTGTGCCATGTGCTGCTGCAGCCGCGCCTCCGCCTCCTCCCTTCCCTCACTCGCCACCTCTCACCACACCCGCTTCATTCTCCTCGTCGCCATCCTCCGGCCGTGTTGGCTGTCCCGCGTGCGCCAAGCAGCTCTCACTCTTCTGCGGGCATCGTTGTATGCTCCTTGCTCCAAGGCTAACATGCCTTTTATCACATGCACTCGCTTTTTGGTGGATCGTTTCGGTCGCTTTCCTCCCCCACTTCCACCCCCTTCCACCCCTTCCACCCCTTCCACCCCCTTCCACCCCCTTCCACCACCTTCCCCCACAAAAATCCGGTCAGTTTCTTCGCCAATCATGGCCACGATCGCGAGCATCGACAAAAAGCGTCAACAAGTTTGCCCAAACTTGATGATTTAGTCCTCTTCCACGAATGTGCCTCCCATACGCCTCCACACAATCACCATGAGTCATGGTGATGGTGGGTCCGCATGTGTTTCCCTTCTGGTCTGGAAATATGACCATATTCAATGACCAAAAGATTCGAACAAAAATTGCCCCCTGGAGCAGTCTTTTACTGATTCAACCGACGATTTATGGGACCGGTTTTTATCTGAAACAATAATACAGTAGCGGGGTGTGTTAACGTTGTCTTCCACATGCCTGTGTTGGTACTCCTTAGAGCCATCTACAGGGCCTCAGTTTCGTTTTAGGGTACCCTGAGCACTCAGGGTCCCTGGAGGGTTGTAACACTGATCTTCAGTGTTGCCTGCTTAGAAACACTGATTTTCCAGGGGTTAGTAAAAGAAAACACTGAGCACACAGGGTGTCGTTTAAAAAAACACTGATTGAGCAGTCGAGGGGATTGAACCCTTGATGTGAGAGCGAGCAAGAATGAGGGATTCAAGAGAACCCCTGCATGGTCGGCTGGTCGGACCGCACCACACGCCCTTGCGTGGTGAAATGGACACATTCAGCACTGGTCCACTGTCTTTGTGCGCAGCGAGCCCAAGAAAAAAACAACAAAGTCAGAGACAACGAAACATTGAAAAACCTGGAACAGCCACTCGAATAGCGCCATTGTGCAAACACTGCCCAAAATCAGCCAGGTCAGCCGTATGGGTCGAGCCGCAGGGGTGGCGTCAATGCACGCTGGGTAGATGAATGAACGGCGCGCCAATATGCGAGAATCGGAGTTTTCTGTTTCAGGGTCGACCCCGATACAACACTGACTCGTCAGTGTCATCAAACACAAAACACTGAAAATTCGGGGTTCCAAAAAAAAAAAACACTGATCCATCAGGGTCCTTAAAAAAAAAAAGGCTGATCCATCAGGTCCACAATAAAAAACAAGGGTCAAACTTCAGGAAATCAGGGTAAAATTCCTGACTTCTGAGGCCCTGGCCATCTAGCATTTCACATGCATGCATGCATGCCCTTGCTGATCTCGAACGGTCCTTGTTTTGATGTTGTGAGGGTACAGGCATGAATGTGTGAGGTGTAAGATACAAGTAAGAACCTCTCGCGCTCACCCTGCCCCCCTGTGTCTTTCGATCGTGCTCACCTGCCCCCTGTGTCTTCCTGATGCCCCATCACAGTGTGTGTGTGTGTGCAGAGCCACCCATCCTTCGCTGCGGCCTGCCTTACCACATCACCACCACCGCCACCACCGCTGCTGCAGCATCGCCCCTCACCCCCCTCCTCACCTTCTCTCTGCAAGCAGCTGTCACACCGCTCCCCTGCCCCCCTGCCACTGCCCACATCCACCCTCCCTCGCCTCATCTCATCCTCCTCTTCACCCGCCAGCTCAGCAGCCAGCCATGTGGCAGCATCTGCTGGCAAGCCCAGCAAGCCTCCTGCGCTGGCCGGGCGGCCATCATGATCTGGCTGTGTGCGGGCGGCAGGCATGTCTGCATCTGTGTTGATACATGCACTGCTGGGCGGCGGGGTGGATGGAGGCCAGGATGCACCCGGAACAGCAGCGAGGATCGGATGGGCAGGGGGAGCGTGATGGCAGGCGGGCGGGTGGGCGGGGGAGGAGCATTTGGGAGGGTCGCAAGCTGTCATGGCAGCAGCGTGGGGGGAAGTGAGATGGATGGCAGCTTTTGCCACGTGGGCAGTGTGTGATTCGGGGGATGCTGTGACTTTATTGAAGGCGAAAGAGGCAGGAGGCAGGGCGAGCAGGGGAGGAGGCAGGCAGTGGGGCCGGAAAAGGGCGAGGAGGTGGAGCGAGCGGGGGGGGGGAAGCGGATGGGCATGCGGGGCATGGAGCAGTAGCAGTAGCAGCGCTGGCATGGTGAGAAGTAGGCTATGGGGGTTGTGATGGTGTGGGAGGTGCGGTGCTCAGTGCAGTGCGGGTGGTGGTAGAGGCGTGTGTGTGGTGGTGGGTGGGTGGGTGGGTGGGTGGGTGGGTGGGTGGGTGGGTGGGTGGGTGGGTGGGTGGAGGCGTGGTGTGGGTGGCGGGGGGTGGGTGGGTGGTGGGTGGGGGTGCGGGGGCGGGGGGCGGTGTGGGCGGGCGGGCGGATGGGCGGGTGGGTGGGCTCTGCTACATGCGCGTGACAGCACGTGCTGTTGAACGCAAGTGCACTTGTACTTGCTTGTCTGTCCACATTGTGCGCCTTTCCTGCCGAGTTTGATGTGCAAACTGGTGCCGTCATGCATCCTGTGGTGCACTGCCCCATCACACTGCCTACTTGGATGTGCCACTCCTATCCATCACACCATACCTCTATCCGAATCACCCTCCTCCGTGATATCCTGCTGCCAGCATTCACCTTCTTCTATCCCTTACTCCCCAACCACCCCACCCACTGTTCTGCCAATGTGCAGCGCTCACCTTGTCGCGCTGCTCTCTCCCCCCTTCCACACACGCCTCCCCGAATGCTGCCAACACCTCACCATCACATGCACCCACCACTCCCCTCCACCGGCCACGGCCCATGCTCTGCTCGCCACACTACTCGCCCTCCTCTCCTCGCCCTGCCCCGCCCTCGCCTCTCTCTTCCACACCGCCCTCTCCCACGCGCTCTCACCACCACACACTCCGCCCTGCTGCGCCGTGTGCGGCGTGGGCCACAGGGGAGGGCGGGAGAGGGGGGGGGCGCAGGCAGCAAGCGGTGGTGCAGCCAGTGCCCACCACAATGCCCGCATGGCGGCAGGAGGTGCACGTAGCAACAGCACCAGCAGCGGCGGCCCTTAGCAGCAACAACGGGGGGTAGCAGGAGCCAGCAGCAGGGGTGCAGGGCAGAGGGTTAGCGCATCAGAAGGCGGGACGAGCCTAGCCTGAGGGGTTTGGCAGCCTCTGCCGTGCGCGAGGCCGCCCTGGCATGCCGACTCTGCTCGCGCCCTGCCCCTCTTCACTCCTCTGCACCGCTGCTCACCACTGACGCGCCACGGCAGGAGGGGGAAGCTGCGACGAAGCGCTGGGTTGTGGCAGCGGTGGCGTGTGACAGCAGGGTGGGGAGGCGGTGCGGGGGCGGAGGGGGGCGTGCAGGCGGTGGGACTGGTGGTGGCTGCACGTGTGGCCCTGTGGAGTGTGGGAAACGAAGGGGAAGGGCAAGGTGAGGGGCAGGGAGAGGGGACAAGGGGGAGGTGAGCGGTTGGGTGATGATGGGAGGAG